CTGCAGGAGGGGATCATGGGGAAGAAGGGTGGGGGGGACTGCAGGAGAGGATCATGGGGAGGCAGTGTTGGGGGGCTGCAGGAGAGGATCATGGGGAGGAAGTGTTGGGGGGCTGCAGGAGAGGATCATGGGGAGGAAGGGTGGGGGGGACTGCTGGAGAGGATCATGGGGAGGCAGTGTTGGGGGGCTGCAGGAGAGGATCATGGGGAGGAAGGGTGGCAGACGACTGTGGGAGGGGATCATGGGGTGGAAGCCGGGGGACTGTAGATGATCATGGGGCTGTTGCTGGCGACCCATGTCTAGAGACAGGCGGCATGTTTGGTGGCAGCAAGCAGCGTGACGAACGTTTCAGCTGGCGTTTAAGAGTCTGATGTCTGGTCGCAGAGTGCCAGGAGCACGCCGATGTCGGCAGGCAGTTTCCGGATGACCCCGAGCCAGCCCCTGCCGATTCCAGCCTTCGGAGAGCCGTGCTCCCAGAGCAACGGGGCGCTGGGCGCGGACAGCCGGCCCTTCGGGTTCGGAGGGTTTGGGGCGAAGGAGGAGCCAGCGCGCGACTCGGACCCTTCCCAGAACTTATTCTTCCAGTGCATGGCGCAGAACTCCGGGCCCAGCGCCAACTACTTCACCGTCGTGTCCGAGAGCCTGGCCAAGGACCCGCCCAGCCTGGGGGGCTTCAAGACCCTGGCCCTCCCCGAGACCCCGAAAAAGCCTGCTGCAGCCGCCGGATTGTTCGGGACGGCACTGGCTTCCCCCAAGGAGCCGGCCAAGCCGGACCCCAAACCCGCGGGCAACGGAGCGGTTCAGGGCAAGCCTTTCGGGTCGGAAGCCATGCCCAAGCTCTCTCCTGCTTTCCCGGCAGGGATGAGCAGCGGAGGGGGGAAGGGCTCCGGGAGCAGCCTGGCGGGCAGCGGCGGCGCTGCGGGGGGGGGCCTGGGCCTCCTGTCCGGCCCCCGGCCCTCCGAGGCGCACGAGAACCTCTTCCTGCAGCTGCCCAAGCTCTCCCGGGAGGAGGCCCCCAACCCCTTCCTGGCGCTGGCCGAGAAGCTGTCGCACAGCCCCTTCAGCGGCCTGCCCGCGTCCTCCGCCGGGACCCCGCCCTCCTCCTCCTCCTCTTCCTCCT